TATTTGTAAAACTCTGCTGACTCGTTAAATCCTTTGGGATTAATTCGTCGTCTCGGATCGGTGATTCGATTGGGTTCGAACCGAAGGGTTCAGTTAAGATTAAGTTGTAACATCAATTGTACATTGATATTACTGATCGGAAGCGGCCTCCACCTAGGAATTCCGATCACTTGACCTTACTGAAGAATTAGCTCTGTAATAATTCTGAACCCTCTATCGGAAGAATACACTTGTTGGAAGGACACCATTCCTTTCAGGAAGGGAGGTTTCTTGGATTTCAGCGTGAAGGTTGAGTTTATTGATGGGTTTTTGGATACCGTGCTGAAGCTGGGTAACCATTTGAGAGGAGTGTGACAGAGGTTGGTGAGAAGGAGATGAAGAAGAAGTGTTGGTTTCTGGGGAAGAGTTTGTAGTTGTGGGGAAGAGGGACTGTGAACCGAGGAAGGACATAGTGGTGTAGGAGAAGAGGACGAAGAGGGTGATGGTGAAGAAGAGGAGCCGAGAGGTGAGGAAGGGTATAGGTAGTTGTTAGGTTTCGTAGGGTCCAACACTACGCGAAAGAGAAACCCGCCCAAGACCCGCCCCAATAATTAAAGCAATAAAGCATGCATAAACATAATTAATCAATAATTAAGAAAAGGGAGAAAGAAGTAATACCCTTGAAGCGTGCTTCACTTGTAAAACCGAGCTCTTACTTCGAAGCTTAAAGCCTCACAAGCGTGACGGCCTCCAATGGCTCTTACCCATGATCCGACCCGAACGATCTTCGTCTCGAGGGTTAGTCGAGACTTGACCAAATATAAAACTAGAGTTTTACGAACATAAAGGTTTTCTCAATAATAATAGATGCCTTTTTTAGTTCCACTCAAGTTGTTCTCCAAATGCCCAATCATGGGGTATTTATAGAGAATAGCAACTTGCATCCCCATTCATGATCAATGTGGGATCTTGTGCATTTTCTACTAATTTATTTAAATCAAAAATAAATTATAAAACAATGCAATCAACAAGTGGAATGAGGAGAGGAGAGGTTAGGTGAGGACCATAACCAAGGGGGGGGACCATTGCCTTGCTCCCCAAGGGAAGCCTCCAAACTTTGGTCCCCATTCCGCAAAACCGGCCTCAAGGCATGGCCAACCAGGCAGCTTGCCTTGGCTGCCAAGGCTGCCAGCTGGCGCCTGGCACCAAGGCTGGGCAGCGATCCATGCCAGCTAGCTAGCACAGCTAGCACGCACAGCCCAGTTAGCGCATGCGTGCTGCTAGCGAGCCACGCATGATGCTGCTGCTAGGCGAGGCCTAGGCGTTGTGCTTGGTGTTGCCATGCGAAGGCACACACACGCATATGCTGCAAGCGCGCACAGCGTGCTGCTATGCTAGCAGCACGCACAGCACGTTGCTACGGCTGGTGCTGCTTGGCTAACGATGCACGCACACACGCACGCGCATGGTGCTGCGATGGTGCTGCTAGCGATGCACGCACACACGCACAACCATAGTGCTGCGATGGTGTTGTGCTAGCGATGCACGTATACACGCACAGTCATGGTGCTGCGATGGTGCTGCTAGCGATGCACGCACACAAAACATGTAATTCAAGTGGCATGTGGGCGTGGGAGAGAAGGGAAAGAAAAGTTTCAACTATGTAACGATGGCGGCAAGAGAAACCATTATGCTCGGAGTATGCGGTGAAGTAGTGAGGTAAGAAACATCGTCAATGGTGAGAAGATCACGGAGAGTAAGGTACTCACCACCATTATCAGAATAAAGGGTCTTAAGAGGAAGTTGATAATACTTTTCAACGAGTGCTTTATATCGAAGGAAAACAGCTTTGGTATCTATTTTTGTTTTAGGTTACATAGCTAAATATATTTGGAGTAGTGATCAACAAAAATAAGATAATATTTGAAGTTGTCATGAGAGTAAACAGGTGATGTCCACAAGTTCAAATAAACATATTCTAGTGGAGCAGTAGAAGTAATAGAAGAAATAGAAAAAGGAAGTTTGTGGCTTTTAGTACAAGCACATGAATTACAATCTAAGATGGAAAGACTTGATACATTTAATTTATTTTCTGAAATAAGAAGCTTAAAAATATTCCTAGATGGATGACTTAGACGATGATGCCAAGCAATGGAAGAGGTTATGCTTGTGTAGACTGACGGAGAGATAGAAGGAAGCTCATAAACGCCACGATTAGTTTTCCCTTGAAATAACACTTTCAGCGTTGTTCAATAAAAAAAAAGAGTTAGTCGAAAAGGATATAGAGATATGATTATCAAGACAAAGTTGTGAGAGAGAGATGATATTTTTAGCAATAGAAGGAACTACTACGACATTATTAAGCTTGAGAGAAGAGAGGGAGCAAGAACCAATGTGAGTTATGGATAGACCCTTACCATCACCAACTATTAATTCTTCGGTTCCATCATAGGGAGCATGAAGAGCAACGTTGTTTAAATCATTTGTAACGTGGTGAGAAGCCCCACTGTCCAGTAACCATTGATTAGGGAGAGGAGAGACAGAAGATATTGTTGAGGTGTTTGCGGTTTGAAGGAGGAGCGGTTTTGGGAAAAAATATTGTTGCGTGGGTGAGGAGGAGAGGCAGTAGGGAATTGCTTGGTGAATAGGGAACAATGGGCCACAACGTGACCTTGTTCACGACACCATTGGCACTTGCCAAAGAAGGGCCGAGGAGTTTTGGGAGTGTGGAGAGGTAGGAGTGGGAAGCAGGCCTTGGGTGTTCTGTTTTGGTGGAGCACGGGTTATTAGGTTTGTGGTGAAGGCAGTGAAAGCAGTGGCTGGTAGAGAGGGTTCAGTGCTTGATTGGGCTTGTTGAAGGGAGAGTTCTGTATTTATTAGCTTCTCATGCATCTCTTCAAATGAAATGGTAGTGTCGCATCCATTTACGGAGTCTACAACTGACTTATAGGAATCATCCAAGCAGCTAGCACTTTGTCTATGAGGTCTTCATGGTCGACGGTTTACTAAGCACAACAAGATGGTCAGAACACTCCTTTAATTGTCTCATGTAATCAGTGATAGAAGAAGGGCCTTTGACTATACGGTTAAACTTATCTTGAGTTGTTTAATGTGGCCACGGGATGGAAGGGCATAAGTGTTGCGCAGTTTATCCCACAATTGAGCAGAAGTTTTGGCTTGGGATATAAGAGGAACCAGGTTTGGAGAAATGGCACCAATGAGAGCACCAAATAAGAGATGATCCTGACGAGTCCAGAACGTGTACTCGGGGTTTGAAAGTTCAGTGCCATTAGTTGTGGTGACGGGAGAAGGACAGGGTTTGCTACTGTCAACAAAGGCAAAGAGATCATGGCCTACAAGGAGAGCTTCAACCTGGAGTTTCCAGGAGAGGTAGTTTTGAGGTGTGAGTTTGAGAACGTTGTGCATGTTGATGACAATGAGAGGTTTAGAAGGATCAGCAGGGTTGGATAATTGAGTGGAAGTGAGTTCAAGAATGGCAGCCATGGGACTGGTTGAAACGAAAGAGAAAATAAAGAAGAGAAGAAGGATCAAAAGCAATCTGATACCATATAAGATAAGAGTATTTGATTGTATTTCGTTGATTGATTTACAAGAGTATTATACAGAGGTATATATAGAAGTACAAGAGAATAAAGATAAGTAAGAGAACAAAGATAAGTACAGGATTTGGAATAATTATCCTAAAGAAACAACTTTGAATAATTAAACTCCTAAGACTAAGGGAATCAGTTGAGCGTCATTCCTTAACATATACAATGAAGAAGGATATTTATGCTTAACATGAATCCTAATCATTCTCATTTTCTTTCATGGTCTTAGATCATTTGAATTTATTGTAAATGGTGGTGAAAACAATTTCCTTTTATTGGTGTATTATTCCTACCATTTCATGAGATATTTGGTAGATATTTGGTAGATGTTATTTTGAAACTCCTTTATATATTCTAGCAATACCCTACTATTTGGATTTTCTATTACTTCTTATATATAGTCTTCAATATTATTTGTTTCGCTTCACTACTACAAAATATGCCTTAGAAACCTGTTAAAATAGGCATAAGCGACCTCTTCTTTGAAGGTCTCTAGCTCACAGGTCTCTTTGGTATTAATAAGAGACCTAAGAAGTGAGACAACAGGTCTCTCTGTGCGTGATTATTTTATATATTTTAGAAAGCAAAAAGACCTGTTACCATGGCCAACAGGTCTCATAGTTGTTATTTAAGAGACCTGTTAGTAATGATAACAGGTCTCTTGTTATTTATTTTTAATTTTTTTTTTCCCAAAATCCAATTATATTTGTATTTGTTCATGTACGGTATATGAGTTGTATTTGTTCCTGTATGACACCTGTAGGATATTTGTACCTATATTTTTCACCTGCTATATATATGCACATCATATACATTACTCCATAATTTATAATATTCATGGAACATACAATAATAAACAAAAGTTTGATAAACACTTTTACAAATATCCAATAATTATAGTATAACCTCCAAAAATACTATACAACAACATCTGCAGAAAAAAAATCCAGTATTCCCCAAAAATTTAAACCACTCATTTAATTTCCATGCTATCTAAGATAAGCTCCAAAAGTACTATACAAAAAATTCTAAAAATTGCAACACTTTTCCCAAAAGTAATGGACAAAATAAACTCACTCAATGTCTATACCATCTTCATTTCCTTCATTAACATCATCTTGTTCAAGCTCTAGAACATACTTAGCCCACAAGTCTCTAATTTCGTCAATATTTTCAGTTGAATATGTGCAGGGTCCGCTTTAAAAAAACTGCAAGATAAACAATAAATCGCCGTATATAATCATAACTCATTCATAATAATAATGGAAAATAATGCTATATTATAACTATATTAAAAAAAAATAATTACACATACAAACAAATGAATATAATGATATGGGTTGAAATATGCAATGTCATGATTATGAGCCATTTGGGGGTAAATTTTCCCTGCAAAGCAGCAGCTGTACGAACATATTGAATTTCTTGATGAAAACGGTGAAAGTGTGAAACAGAAAATATGGCTCAACCTGTCACATGCTTCTTTATATGGACATATGGTGAACTTCTGTCCTAAGAAAAAGGGTTGGAAGCAGCTAGGAAAAGGTGGAGACCGGTGCAACGTGCTGGCAAGAAAGTAGATGATCCTGGCAGGAAGTTTGGGATTAATTCGAGGGGGGGGGATAGAAGACAGAACCAGAAAAGGGGCTGTTTAAGGTGGGCTGAAGATGCTGGTAGCTGCTGCATGTAGCAGTGCTGAAGAGCTCCAACATGTTGATGACAATATTGTACTGTATGGGAAAGAAAGAGATGGAGTCTGCTGCTACTCTCTGTATGGGTAGCTATTTCAGCAGAATGTCCTGTTAGCAGCCTGTTTTAGGCTTGCTTGCTGTGTGCTGTGATCTTGTGTTGGTAGGGTTGTTGGAGGCTTTTTCTTTGCTTCTGGTTGTTCAGTTTTCTGACAGTTTAGGCTCGTGGTGTGCCTGATTTGTTTTGGTTTCTGCTGTGTTTGGTTGCTGCCCTTTTTGGTTTCAACGTCTTTTGTTCTGGTTGCCTGAGGCTTTTGCTTCCCTTGGGCGTGTTTCTGTGTGGGGTAGAGCTCTTGTTTGGTGTTTCTGTTGTTTATTAGTTTTTCTTTGGGCTTCTTGTTCTTTTGGCCCATTGTTGTTCTCGGCTTTTTGTGTATAGGCAGTTGGGTAGGATTGGGTGTGCCATGTGTTTTTGTGCGTTTTTTGGGCTGTTTAGCCGTTGTAATCTTGAGGGCTTGCCCTCTTCTCTTTGGTATTAATAAAATTTCTTACTTACCAAAAAAAGAAAAAAAAAAGAACAAAAGCTTGCATATTTAGAAGCTCAAAATAAGTCAAGAGACATAATTGTTTTTTTCCTATATTCGAGATACTTAGACAACAAGGTAATGATAAACCAAGCTATAGAAATAAAGATTCTGAACTATCTACATGAATTCACATCAAAAAGCAATACATAAATCAGATTAAACATACCTTATCAGAAACCCACAATACACTTTTCTGTATAATCTCAAGCATATAGCGACAAACATAGTATCCACAAACTTTGGAGTATTGAGGTTGTCAAGGACACTGTTAAAAAAGACATTCAAATTTTAAATGCATGAATATTTGGCATTATAACACAAGCATGTAAATAACACATTATTCTTTTAATATCAAGAGTATAAACTAAAATGACATACCTTAGGTTGCTTCCACTCAATATATGGATCCTTTTTTATCTTCTTAATGTCCTTTCGATGGACCATGCTGAATTTTTTTTAATCCCCTATAGAATTGTGACATTGTTTGACAAAAATAATGAAATGAATAATTAATAATAGAGCATATATAATACAAAAAACAGATATGTTGGATAATCACTCTAACACGTACTCATTTATGATCTTCTTAGCAAACTCATTGATCTCGTTTTCTTCCCCGGCCAGATCTAACCAGCACACTAGTCCATTCCAAGGACTAATAACACAGCTAACCTCCAATGCATACTACACATAATGATAGTGATTATATTAGCAAAAAATCAATGGTGAATATAGAATAGTAATTGTCCAGGATAACCGATCAAATCTTTAAGAAGGCTCTAGGCAAAGCACAATTTGTTAAAAAAAGTAGCTTCTGCTTTACATTAGGGCATCGGGAGTCTCTTTGTACCATATATATAGATGAATGAAATTTAACACAAGATTTTGCCCTAAACTATTCATGTGTTTCTAATAGCAACGGACGTACACCCCTTTTGAAATAAAGGAACTAATATAAGGTAGGTATCTGAATGAAATTATGTTAGATCCTTAATCATGATAGGATTGGGCAACATGACAACTATATCTAAACAGAGAGATAATTTCATAATGATGCCTGAAGATTTATGTATATGTTTGTATCACAGTCCCTAAACTCATAACGATTTGCATTAGGCATTTAGGCTTGGTCAAAACTCAGAAGAACAATTCAAGAAAACATAAAAAGCCTTGGTCAGAACTCAGGAGCCAGGATACAAAGCATGAGATTTACGACGAACAAATTTTTGAAAACTACATATTCCTGGATGATAATTAGGCAACAAACCAGAATTTAAACCAGTTAACACCTTATCAGCGGGAATGAGCATTGCAGCGGGAATGAGAATATACTTCGTATTTCCTCCCTTCTTTTACCAGATTTAATCTATTCATTCTACATATTGTAGAGGGTACATAAGCATATAGAAACTTGTGTTGATTTTCCTCTAAATACGTAAGTTTTTCCATTTGCAGTAAGCATGTTAAACAAGAACAAATAAATCAATTGAATTCCACAAGTCTTTCTTTGTATAAAACTCGAGAAAAAGTAAATCTTATTTTCCAATTCTCTTTTTCACACAAATGAATTCCTTGATTTTGATTTCTTAAAAATTATTTAGTGCTACTGATATGATATTTTTTCAATCTCTATTGAGTTGTAATATAATAAGAAAATCAATTAGGGGCTCAGATATGTGCTGTTTATTACGTCTGTGTAAGGCCTAAAGATAACCATATCAAATCACAAATCATAATCATTTTTTCTTAATCTTTATCAATAATTAATAGTGAACAATGAAACAAGAACGAATTTGAATTGTGGTTGGGGGACGTGGCTCGGAATGCGAACGGCTTACCTTTGTACAATCGCTTGAAATAGAGTGGTTGATAGTCGTGACCCGAGTACGCTTCAGATGGTGGCGGCCTTGTAAACTAGACGACGGTGGCGGCCTTACAAAGTAGATGATGGTGGACACAATCTTAAAAACGATCGCCTCTAATTAGGTGGTGAAAAACATGGGAGGGAAACCATGGAAGTTCAAGGGTTTGGGTTTTTGGAGGAGGAAGACGAAACTGCTATGCTACAGTTCTACTACTCTACTCTAATTTTTATTTTTTTTTTGTTAAGAAGTGTAGTCTAAGATAATTAGTGTACTACTTTAAGATAATAGGATACTAGTATTACGTGTACTACTACTCTAAATTTTTTTTTTTTTTTGTTAGGAAGTGTTAGTCTAAGATAATTATACTAGTATTACGTGTACTACTACTCTAATTTTTTTTGTTGGGAGGAAATGTGTACTACTCTAAGATAATTAGTAGTAGCGTAGTACACATTTCCTCAAAAAAAAAAAAAAAAAAAAAAGAGGAAGTTAGTAGTCTTTAATTTTTATTTTATTATTTCTAACAAAATTTTACTCGATATTTGTAGGATGTTTCTTAGTATTTGATACTAGTGTACATGTAATACTAGTATATAAGAAATCATAAATAATTTTAAGATTAAAAAAATAATAATAAAAACAAAGAGACCTCTTAACACTAACAACAGGTCTCTTTGTTTTTTTCCCGCCAACAAAAAGCTCATTAGAGACCTGTTATCAGTAACAACAGGTCTTTTGACCAAAGAGACCTGT